ATGAATATGTATATAATTCTAAGGCCTAAAATACACAACATAATTCAACAATTTCATAGTGCAAGTAAGCCAAAAACATGAACTTTCTTTAGTTGGCAATATCATGCAAGATTATACACAATAATAACCTAAAAAAATAAGGCCTATAAATAGGATAGTAATCATATGCCTCAGACTGTTTTCCTCAGTCTTGTCCTATTGAGCTAGCTCCTATAATATTAAAGAGAAAGGAATGAGTACAACTACTCAACAATCAAGGTTTATCTAATTTATACTAATACATGTCAATCAATTTAAATGTAAGTGACAATTAATGTCATTCACAAGTCAATTTTTCTTGTTCAAACACACATTTGCAGTTTACATCATTAAGAGCATGTAATCACGAAATGACAACACAATGTCTCATTTTTAAATGGTTATTACACTAATCACATGTTCTCATTATAAGGATTACAATACAAACAATCATGTGCCCTTTTTATCATAATATGTATGATCACACCTCCCTTATATTCTTTTTTATGCCTCTGACATGATACTGTGAGTTATAACACACTGGAATTATTTATAAGATAAGACTATCCTAGTCATTCATGTGTGAGGGGCTACTTGGCTAAGGTTGCCTAACTCACTTGTAGATCACAGTTTCTCCACACTGTGGAATGTCATTCTTCCTAAACGAACTTTCTTGTTGAACAAGTGAAAATTAATTAGGTTCAAATCCTTCATTGAATAAGTAAGATAGTCCCAAGTCGAACAAGTTGACAATAAGTATAAACAAATCTAGAAAAACTATCGAGCTCTGATAGAAGCCTCACCATGTGAATTTTAAACTCATTACTTCTCTTTCTAGGTAAACTCCTGCCTCTTATGAATATGCAATGTATAAAGATGCAAATTTCTCATAGTACTCACATATTACATGTTCATCGCATAACACATTATATCATTAAACTCCTCTTTACACACATCCATTCATTCACAAATATTCATGGAACTTCACAAAACAACATCTTATTGAACTCTACAAGTATCATATCATTAAACTCCATGATGTTATTCCATAGAATCTCCTATATACATGTCATTGAATTTCACAAACACAATTTCATCGAACTCCATAAAAATGTAGCACTTGATTTTCAAGTAATCTAGGCCACATTTGCATTTTTAATAATCATACTCACTTCAATTATAACATGTAAATTAATAAATTAATTAACACATAAAAGCACAATAAAGATTTCTCTCGACTATCTCAAATCTTTGAGAGGTCAAAGGTTTGTCTCTCAATTTACCACTTCCAAAGCTTTCATGAAGCTTAAATGGTGTCAAATGTAACCACTCTACATTTAACCACAATATTAATCATCAATATCCCTTTTTGAAAAATTTTCACTATCTAGTTCAACACTTCTACACTTTTAAAATTCAATCTCTTTATATACCAATGTACCCATAGTGTTTATTAGCTTTCTCTAACTCCTATTAACTTTATTAAACTTTGAAACAAGCATTAATGGAGCTACATTACTCCATCAACTTCATTTGTGGAGGATTTTCATGCATTTATAGCTCCCAACTACTAAAAACACCAAAAACAACCCCTATTAACTATATTTAATTCAATAGGTTCGGACTCATAGTTTTTATGGATTGAAAAATCATCTCTCTTAATTGAACCATAACTTCCTTATTCAAGAAAAATGGAAAAAAAAGGAAGATAAACACTTAAAGAACTTACCTTTAGTGTTTAAAAGCTTCAAATACTCGCAATACTTCTAAACCCTAAGCCTTAGTATAGCTCCTTGTGTTTCATTCATTTACTCTTGTTTCTCTTTTGTTATGTATCAATTTCTCATTCTTAATTCTGTAGAATTGCAATCGTGCGCCACTGCACAAATATCATGTGCTGTGGTATGTGGTACAGAGAGTGAACTCTTGCCTTTTGGTGGCTTGTGTACCATGGCATATGGTACAGAGCCCTTTCCCTTTATTTTTCTTATTTTTTGGCATTTGATTGGCCTGACCTCATTCCGAACTCAACCCTACGGTTAAAATCACAATCTGTAACACCCATTAGCTCTCTATAACCACACACCATATTAATTTATTTAATTAACTTCATTTATTCAATGAATTAGGGATTAATTTTTTTAGGATGTTATACAATATTTTTTCAATAGCCAGGATAAAATATTATTGGCTTGTTAATTTTTATAATGCCACGTTATCATGAGCATTATCTATCACAACAGTAGTGAAGCTATGACCTAAAGCCAAGGGGTGTGAGATAATTTAATAAAAAATAATAATTATACTATAGGATTACAATTATAATAACATAAATAGATTGATTATCATTTTTTTCTTAAAAATTGTATTGATCAAGTTGATATGATATTTTATGTAAATATGTCCTTTATCTCGTACGTAAATTATTAAACTATTTTATATCTAATAAGTTTTTGAACTCAAATATTTTTTACTTAGTTTAGAGGGTGTAAAATATTAAGAGTAAGAGTGCATAGTTGCAAAATTTATATACCATACTTATAATATTTTCTATGTGAGGGGATGCATTTGCCCCCCCTCACTATCATGTAGCTTCGCCAATGTCTCACAAAGATATGTCCAAGCCTTCAATAGCACATAAACAATTTCATTGAATATTAGTCTTTGAGACTATAGCAAGAATCTATTAAATTTATACAACTCTTTGATATGTTTTGATATTTGAATAACTAATTATCTTGGCTACAATATTTAATCATACTCAGATAATCAAAATGTCACAAATTTTTCTTATCATGCCATTTATTGAAACCATAAATTAGTCTTTTACAAGAATGTCACTACCAAAATTGACATGGATGTGGCTTTTGGTCATCTATGACCAAGAGTATCAGCAATAATACAATAGTACTTTCTCATACCTTAATATGATGAATATTAAAATTAATTATGAAATAAGAATATTGAAAATAAAATTCTCATACCTTAATATGATAAATATGAATCTCCAACCATCCATGAATCAATAAACATATACCTTCTTTGAAATTGTAAAACCATTGATTCTTCTAGACGAGATGGAAAAGTCCACCACCACACCATTTTTGGAACAAACTATTTCCATATGATAAACAATGATCAACAAATTTTTTTTTAAGATAATAACTTGTAAATTTGTCGATCTTTTATATTCATTAATATCATATCAATTTCACCAAATACTAGTTATTAGGACCATAATAAAAATAATTTTCAAATCCATTAAAACTTTTCATAGTATGAAATATTTAGACATTAGCTTTAGGGCTATATTATTTATAGCCATCAAATAGCTAAATTGTCAATAAACCCCATCATGATCTTCACCAAAATTAAAAGCTATATGACTTTTGGCCATTTAATCATGATATCATAGCTCCATCAGTCATCTATCAACACATACTCAATACTTTTATATTGGAGTCATAAATCATTATCAAATTGATAATCATAGTAATACTATAGATGAATGGATCTTGAATATTTAAATGATAAAACATGAAACATAACAATAATTGAAATTAATAAGAGAATCAAAACATAGAGAGAATCAAAATATCATACTTTTGTATGATAAATAAGAACCTTCAAATAATCATTAAGGAACCTTTCAAGTCTCTGTCTCATGCAAATTCATTAAAGACTTACGCTGATAAAGTATTATGAATAAAATATAGAAAGAATAGGAGTACCACCAAATATAGAAAGAATAGAAATGAGAAGGAAGAAAAGAATAGAGACAATAGAAATGAAAATGACTTCTCTTATTCTCTCTTATCCTTTACAATACAAATAACATGCCCTATTTTTATTTATAGTTATTTATAGGCATAATCTTATATCAATAGTTAAACAAATGATAGTGAAAATAAAGGGTAATCAATACTTGTCAACACTCAAGATAGTGGAAATTTCGTAAAAAAAAAAAAATTAAAGGATGAAGAAGATGGACATCCATAGGACTTGTAATATTTATAATAATATATAATTTTTAAAGATCGATTTTCTTCCTGATGATAGATTAGAAGAACTAAATTAAATGCCATATTTTAAAATTATATAGCGCAAACGAGTCATGAGTAAATTCGGCCAAAAAAGAAAAGAGTCATAATCAATGAAGATTCTTTCTTTCTTTGTTTTTTTTTTTTTGGTCGAACATAATCAATGAAGATTCAACTGATTCAAAACAAAGGCGAAAAAGAAAAAGAAATATTTTCTTCGTTTATGAAGGGAAAAAAGAAATGGATTTCTGTGCCCAACGAAAGTGATCCAAAATGCACTTTTGAATGTCATGAATAAAAATTATTTCCTGTGAGTGAAAAAACTACATTTTGAAGAATCAATTTTATTTAACTCACCCAGTTTATATTAATAAGAATTAATATAATTTTTGAAGAAAAAAGTTAATAAAAAGTTCGATTTAATTTGTTTATTTGACATGGGATTGTTTTTGAAAATTACATTAAGAATTTACATAAAAAAATTTATCATCAAAAAATTCCATAAATAATTATTACTTAATTTTCAATTTTTTAATCAAATTATAAATGCATACAATTTAAAATTTAAAAATATTTTATGAATTTTATCAGATTTTTTAATAATAATTTTTTTTTGTGAGATTTAAAAGTTTTTTTTTTTTTCATCTTCTTGTGCTCCTGGTTGCTCTGCAGAAGTACTATGCATCTATGATTGAGCTTTGTGTTAGTACGCTTCTGGTGTCTTCTTAATTGTCCATCTCTAAACCCAAAAACATTTTCAGGCATTCCTTAACCACACAATCCAACAAGAGGATGCCTCAATCATCAGCTGCATCTCATCCTCAACCTCCACGTGTCAGGCAGACAGTGGTCGAGTTCTTTTATCCCCTACAGCTCAGCACCTCCCTCCACTCAACTGAATTGCACTTTTGCCACCTCCCTCACCTCCTCACAATCATCTTCCACATTGCTCTCCAATCACACCCACAAAGAAACAAAATGTACCTTCGATCCTTTAACACTCATGGTTGTTCAGAGACTTCATCAAGAAGCTTATCCCACTGACTTCCTGAGAGCCTGAAGAGACTGTGTGTGTGATATCGAAGAATTATGCTATGGAGGCCCTCAACGCTGCTACCTTGACCCCTTTATCTGTGCTCTGCGATAGAAGGAAAAAACCCCTAAAATTCTCGCCACCGCCAAGAATTTCCGCTAGCATAGTGTCAGATTCTGCCAGTTTCCCCTCCAAGAAACCATCTCTGAAAGAGTATTTACCTTCGGGTTTGCGTGGGGGCCTTCTTCTTGCAGCTTCAGTCATCAATGGAGGAATTGCTAAAGCTCTAACATATGAGGAGGCATTGCAGCAATCTGCGGGAAGCCCTAGTTCTGGGGACCTTGATGTAAATGGGGTTATAGATAGCGTCATAAGCTTTGGAACAGAGAACGCTGTGATTATAGCTGGAGGGTTAGCTATTTTGGGGGTGCCTCTTGTTTTGTCTCAGGTTCTGAACAAGCCTAAGCCATGGGGTGTTGAGTCAGCTAAAAATGCATACGCCAAGCTTGGTACTGATGGGGATGCTCAGCTGCTTGATATAAGAGCATTAACAGAATTTAGGCAAGTGGGTACCCCTGATGTTAGGGGTTTGAAGAAGAAGTCGGTGTCAATCACTTACAGAGCTGATGATAAACCTGGGTTTTTGAAGAAGCTGGCTTTGAAGTTTAAGGAACCAGAAAATACTACATTGTTCATTCTGGACAAGTAAGAAGAGTCTGCACTTTTACATCATTGTCTTGTTGTAGTTGTTTACCTGCTTTGGTCAACCAAGGCATTGAGCCGACATGGGGATCAATGTCATTTGATTCTTCAAATATTCACTTTTTGGTTCTAACTGGGGGTATTTTTATTATAGTTTTCCCCCTTAAAAAAATGAATCTTTTCTTTGGATGAATTTGTTTTAACTAATCACATGCCAAAATTAACATTTATGGCACCTGTATATTGCAAAAAGAAAAAAGATAAAGCCGCCTTGGAATATTTGATAAATGCCCATTTTTGTTATTGGATTCCCTAGTGAGTATTTCAGTGCATTCAAAAACATAACTCTGTGCTTTCCACTGTGAAAAGGAGTGTAAGGTAGAACACCATTTGCTCGGTTTGATGAAATATGTTAAGTTTAGGTTTAAATGATCACCATGGAATACAAAAAATGTGCGCCTGAAGCTGATAGAATGTACTTGTGATGGAAGCCAGATTTGATGGGAACTCCGAATTGGTTGCAGAGTTGGTCACAGTCAATGGATTCAAAGCTGCTTATGCAATTAAGGATGGTGCAGAAGGACCACGGGGATGGATGGTATCTTGTTCCTTCCCATTTCTATTCGCTTAACGTTTATTGCAATTGTATCTATTTCTCTTTTCGGCTCATTCATTTTCTGACATGTATTGAAATTCTGCAGAAAAGTGGTCTTCCCTGGACACCACCAAGGAAAGCATTGAGTTTGGATCTTAGCAATTTTACAGAGTCTATCACTGGTGCAATAGGAGTATGCATCTTAAAATTTCTTTGGTTTTATAATTGTGAAATTTTTTATGCTGATCTTGGGCCGAAAAAAAAAAAACATTATGCTGATGCACCCACAAAATATTTTTAGCTTTCAAATTAATTACCAGTATACATATTCATAACTTAAGGCAACAATTAAACACATTTTTCTAACAAATCCATTTTTTTCTCTCAAATTTTTCCTGTTATTTGACCATTTTCATGGTCCCTATCTTTAGTATTTCTGTGAGTTTCTGATGAAGATTTATTATTATAGGAGACCTCTGATGGCTTGGCTCTTACTCTTGGGATTGCTGCAGCTACTGGATTGGGGCTGTTAGCTTTTACAGAGGTTAGTATGATTAGTACTTTCTGATTTGGCATGACTCTCTGATGATAAATGAATTGTTGATGGTTCTACTCTGTTTTTGTAGATAGAAACAATTCTCCAACTTGTAGGTTCTGCTGCAATTGTTCAGTTTGCAACCAAGAAGCTTCTATTTGCTGAGGTTAGTATGATTTCTGCTCCTGAATTGGGGCAAAACCTGAAATAGGTATTCCTAAAGCAATGGATGGCTATGAATATGTCTGTATACATGTATAAAGGGGAGAAAAAGAGACAGTAGGAGCGCAAGGGATATTGATATTAAAAACTCCTCCCTCTATTGGTGAAAAGCAAAAAAGAAGAAGAAGAAGAATGTCCAGGATTCGCAGTCCTGCAATTTTAATTGTTGCATAATGATCCGCTCAAGATTGTGGAAGTAAAATTTCTTAGCCGTATGATTTGGAATTTAGATCATGAGAAAGGAAGGAATGTTTGTATGTTCTGATGGTCCAATAGATGTTCAATCTCATGCTATTTTCAATATTGAATGGCATGCATGCCTGGTATTTCCACAGATGATTTTATTTTCTCTGGACTCTCATGGTCAATATTTTTGGGAGAATGAAAGTCAAGTCCCAAAAGGTTGAATCAATGACAGTTAGATTCTGACAAAATTTTTTAAAAAAATGAATTGTAAATATCAATTTAAATAGCTACAAACAAAAATTTTTATTACAATTTAAGAGTTACATTTGATACTTAACTACTTGTTTACAATTGAAACTCCTGAATATATAATTATCTGGATTGGTATTTTCAACTTATTTTTCAAAAAAAAAAAAAAGAATTTGTCAACTTAACTGTCATTAATTTAATGTTCTGGGACTTCGTTCTCCCAATATTTTTCTGTTGCTCAAGATGGAAAACCTTTTCCCTGGTGCATAAGTCTTGGTCCATTTGGGGTTTCTTATGTTCACTAAGCACGTCCTTGGTTCTCATACATGGTGATGAAGCAGGTGGAATTTACCATTTAGTGAAGCTCCACGCCTCATGAATTTGCTTGAGGGCCTTTGTTCCTTGTTTATTATTAATTTCTTATGGCTTACTTCGGGTAAATATTCTTTCCTCTCTTTTTTGTTGCTTCATGGCAGGATCGAAAGAGAACCCTGAAACAAGTTGATGAGTTCTTGAATACAAAGATTGCCCCAAAGGAGCTTGTAGATGAGATAACGGTACTTGATATTTTTCTCAATATGTTGCATTGACATGGGTATGAGAGGGGTGTGTATCCAACATCAATCTTCATCTTTATTCATATCATTAAGGTTTTCAGTAAGTTCTGTTCACGAGCTGTTTTGGAGCATTCTGGATAAAAATGTCAAATATATAGCTATTAAAATATATTTCATGTATTGCAAAATCTAGTATGCCTGTCATAGCTAATACGTGTTCAATGCAAGCACGTCTACTATTTTGAAGTATTAGTGCAACATATTTGTGCCCTGATAATGTGAACTATAACAACAGCGTGGCAGATCTTGGAATGTTTCACTGTATATATCTTTCTAACAGTTGCCTGAAGTGGAACTTGTGTTTTTCCTTTTTCATGTCCCTTCATTCTTCTTGACTGGGTGGTAACATTAGCAAATTGGAAAGGCTCTTCTCCCAACCTCCACAGATAGTAAGGCTCTTCCTGCACCAACAGAGGCAACGCCGGAACCAGCACCTGCTTCTAGCACTGTGCAGAAAGCAGAAGCCTCTCCTGATACAGTCTCTGAGTCCAAAGTAGATGCAGCAGCAGAGCCTGTTCCTGAAGTAAATTCAGTACCCAAACCTGAAGTTAAGGCAGAATCAGTTCCTGGGATCCAAAGACCACTTTCACCATACCCATATGTAATGTCTCCACTTCCTTCTTCCATTTTTCATTTATACTTAGGGTGGCAAATGGCTAATTTTCTTGGCTCATATCTTTTCATAATAGAATTTGTTCCAAGTCTGATTATGAGTGCTGAAACTTGAATTTTGTTGTTGGACTGTATAACAAATAATAAGCTGAGGATGTGGAGTTCAATGTTTAAGGAGACATAAATCAGCTGAAGTTTGACAGCCATACCATCAAAGTATTTTGAGTAAATTATTCATCCCTCTCGAGTTTTGTTAAAATTACAGACTTTTTTCAAAACTAATACAAACCTTCTTGAGTGTTACTAAAATTACGCAAAAATCTGTTCTTTTTAAAAATATATAATGACCTCCCCTCAGAAAAGAATAAATTACACAGACTGCCCATCAATGTTGTTGGAATTTGATAGATATCTTCAGTGTGTTCAAAATATAGCTATTTTTTCCACTGAAAATAGAAAGGAAGTTTGTGAAATTTTTGAAAAATAGGGGACGATTGTTTAATTTGATCTTTTATTAAGGGAAATTCTTATAGGCTTTAAAATAGACAAAGTTTATGTAATTATAACAAAGCTCCAGGGAGGTTTGTGTAATTTTAGAAAAATATTAGAGTTCAGTGTAGGTTCTGAAAATTTTTTAAGCAAAAGATCTATAAAGTTAAAAACAAAATTCAGGGGACGTTTGTGTAATTTAATCAATATATATTTAATCGAATTACCTATAAAACAGAGCTGTCATAGAATTAGAATACCTACTTACTGATTTACTGATATAGGAATATTTGATTAATCATGTGACATTTTTGTTACTTCCTGTCCTATATCATATACTGCAAGGAATTTTCAAAATTTGTTATTTATTCTAGTTTCTACTGTACGTACGTCCAAGTATCTGCATATGCTTTTATCATATTTCATATACATCTTTGTTGCCTTTTGGATTGCAGTATCCGGATTTCAAGCCTCCAACATCTCCCACTCCTTCTCAGCCCTAGAGTTTCACTTGTTTTTATCTTCAACAGAATGTTCCAAACAAAACTACTCTTTTCCCAGACATTTCAAGCCCAAGGGATGATGAGCCTTCGCACGAAGAAGTCTTAGGCATGCTGCAAAACATCATAGGTTGAGGAATTAAATCTGTCACAGTTTGTATAATTCACAATCTCTTTGTGCTTCTCTATCCACATTTTGTAATTGACAGATGTCTTGTAGAGGTGAATGTTGTATTAGTCATGTTGGGATTTAGCATGACACCGCATCTTCCAGTTTTGAGTAATTTATACATGCAGGCATGCGTGTGTTCTGGTTTAGAGTTTGTGACAGAATTATGCCAGACATTCTCGAGATTTCAAAATATCTATTTGGTTGGCATGTTAGTTTCTTGTGGGCTTTTAGTTCGAGACTGAAGAAAATTTTCGGCTGTGACCTTTAAAAGATAGGTAGGTTGACGTCAAAGAATTAATTCTGATAAAATATGTAAACATAGCCTCAACTAGATGAGGTGGAGAAATATGTGGTCCAAGATATTCTAAGAAATGTTTGTGGCTGCTGCTGATATTATTTCACACACTCCTAAGTTTGTGCATGCATGTTAAATAATTACACAGTTTTAAATCTAGTTTGACAAACCAAACTAGAATTACAGGTATAAAAGAAAAAAGGGAGAATGACGGTTGAGACTGAAGGGATAATTAATAATAGTTAAGCTCATAATAAGGTAATTTTGAGAAGTGTCTTGTAAACATTGATTTATGTCTTGTAAACATTGATTTAAACAATTGCAAGTTCAAGAATTTCAAATGACGATAAGACATTTAAATTTGAAAAAATATCAATTAAAGACTATTGGTAAGAATTTATATTAATTAAAGATTATTTATTTTTAAAATTTGAATGAATACTTATTAATTTAAGTTAATTTTTTATCAATAAATATTCATTTAAATTTTAATAACTTATTTTAAATTAACAAATCCTTTCGAGCACTTTTTTATTTAAATTTTAACAATAATTAATTCTTAATTAATATAAATTTTCTCCAACAATCTTTCATCGTTATTTTTTCTTTAAATTTTAAATATAACTCTCAATTTATAATTGTTTAAATTAATATTTACAATGTAATTTTTTAAAAAAAATTTCAATACCTAATCATGATAAATTCTCTTCTTTGAAACTCTATTATCATTCTCCCTAGGGGGGAAAAAACTCAAGCGAACAGCAATTTTATAGTGATTAAACAGTGGAAAAGAATTTTTATCCTATTTTATTATACTATGTTCATGATTATTCAATTCATTTAATAAATTAAAATTGAGTCTTTCAACACCATCCAAATTTCCATTTTATCCTTTTGAAGGAGTTAATAATGTCAACGTGTCATGGCAAAATAAAAATAATAAAATGGTAATGTAGAATCCGCCTAATATAAAATGTAAACATTTTTATTAAAATTTTGAAGATAAATTTCTACTAACAGTATTAAATTTTGTTCAAATGTAATTGAAATGAGCCCATGACAATACTGATCTGATGGGTCTGATGTTACAAACTGAAAGGTGTGTTCGCAGATAGAGGCAGAGTGGGCGGAAAGGAGCAAGAAAGAAGAGACGAAAAGAATAAAAAAGGAGAAGGAGCAGGAGAGCCCTAAGAAGGACTGGAACAAAACACAGACAACACTGCTTAACTTTATCCACTCATTTTCAATCCTTTTTTCCCTAATTTCTGTACAAAAGCTTCTCTTCTTTTTCTCTTGCATGTGCAACTTGTGGGTGTAGTTTTCACAAGTCATGATGGAGAACAACTTTGTTTAGCTTCCCCTGTCATTAGAATCCATGCAAATACTTCTTATTGTATCATTTAACTTCAAATTAGATAGATGACCTCTCACACAGAAGAAGTTTCAATCTTTACATGAACAAAAAGAGTTCATTGTATAAATTTTCTATTCATCAGACCACGCAAAAACCCATACACAAGTGTATAAAAGCTTGATACGATCAAGTTAAATGGGATAAAAATCATACCAGACAGGGGCAAAATGTCAAGACAAGACTACAGCGAGCAACAAGCAGCTAACTAGTCCATGTCAAAGGGAAACACATCCTTTGAAAACATTAGATAACCATTAACAAATTAATCCAAACTTTTTGAGAAATACGTCAATTTGTATATTATCATGAGTTTAGTTTACAGAGATGACTTTATTTATTTATTTATTATTATTTGAATTACAAGAGGTATGTCATGAGGCCATCCACGGTGAGCGGTCTGTCTAAGCGGATGACTATTAATATCAGATTAAAAAACCCCAGAAGAAGACCACATGAATGTACTTTTCAAACAAGCTTGTACATATTTGATAAAATATTGTAACTAACTAATAAAAATTAGATAGATGAAACACGCATCTCTCAAACGACCAAGTTAGACAGACATGGCTTCTTTTTATAGTTCCCTTTGCCAAATTCAATCTAAAGATCAAGTGAGAAACCTAAACAGATAAATACAAATTTTACATTTATATTCATCCGACCATGAAAAAAAATGCTTACACAAGTGTAGATAGGAGTAAACGAGCTTGAAAAGATCAAGTTCAAATGTTATAAAAATCACACTACACAACAGCAAATCAAGCTAGACTTCAGCAAGCAACAAGAAGCTAATTAATCCATGCCAAAGGGAAACACAAACTTAGAACTTAGAAATATCAGAAAATTATTAACAAATTAATCTAAACTTACTGAGAAACACGTTGAGAGGGATGGTTTTATTATCAGGTTAAAAAAACCCAGAAGAAGACCAAATTAGAAAACTTTTCCAACAATTTCAGACTAATATGATAAATATAGTAATTATCTGATAAAAGATAGACAGATGAAACAAGTATCTCTCAAACGACCAAAATAGCAGTCAACCCACAGAGATCGTCCCCACATGTGTTATAGTTCTATTTGCCAACTCAAATCTAAAAATCAAGTGACAAGTCCAAACATCTACCTCTCAGGCACCAGCTTCTCGGGACCTAGATTGTCTTTGCAACTCTTCATCTGCATTCCTCAGAAATTGATCCCAACCACTTCCAGGGCTGGTATCCAAGTAATCATATGGAACTGCTGTCTTGAGCCCTGGCCTAACAGCACAACGATCTTCAATAATCCTGAACTCCACACTATCTCCGTCATTAAGAATCTGCTCAAGTTCCTCCCATGTAAACAACAATGGCAATGTAAAAGCACCCCATGGGTTGAAATCCACTACCTTAACCCTCTCATCCTTTGTAATGTAAACATCAAATGTGTAGTGTTCTAATTCAAATACAGCTCTCACATTATTGTTAAAGAAAACCTGCATGACTAAGAGGAGATCATTCCTCTTTTCAACCAAAGCAGGATAAAAAGTAGTCACCTCACGCTGCGAAATGCCAATTAGTTTCTTCCCTCGAACAAAACACCGAAACTCCATCTCTGGCCGAAGGGATGGGTACCACTTGCGAAGGGCAAGGAAGAAGTTTTGGGGCCTAGATGAAGATTTATCATCACTGGAATCATAAGCATGACACAAGTCATGGACCAATGAGTCAGATGATCGGAGCAAGAGTGCAATTTCACCGAAAGTGGTGCACCGGAGGGTACCAGTGGTACTTATCCAAGCAGAATCTTTTGGTGCACTCCAATTCAGCTTGGGGAAGACTGCACCTCCAAGGGATTCAATGGATTCCTTAACTTTCAATTCAAGTTCTGGAAAAGAAGGAGGTGGTGAAGGTTCTTCTGCTTCGTCACCAGATCCTTCTGAAACTTGATAATCATCTTCCTCATCAGGATTATGAATTCGATTGGGAAAGGGATCTTCATTTGAGACAGAAACTGGCAACAAGAAGAGCCCAGAGTCATTGAGAAGGTAGTCAACGAAAGATTCTGGAAGTTGATGGATTATGGTCTTGATGGATACTGATTTAAATTTTGGATACCATTCCTGAATCTGGCACCGATTAACCTCTTCCACTTTCATGTTCTCTAGATAATAGTGATTCTTTCAAATAAAAGCAGCTATACTTCTGTTTCTTCAAGTATATGACACAGCTGTTGGAACCTAAGCAGTCATTGCAAAGAATAGTACGTTACATCCAGCAGACCTTCAAGCTCAAGAATGATTGAAGGTGCCATGACTTTCCAAAGAGTTTCATCTCTTTAAAAAAAAAAAATTTGATAAAATATATATATTTTTATCAAGGAAGATGAGATCCATAGAAAAGGAGAATAAGACCCTCCGATAAGAATCTAGGGAAAACATATACATAGAAAAATAGGTAACAAAAATAATCAAAAGTGCAATAATACAGCCCAATCTCTTGGCAAATCTAAGTAAGCAAAACTTCTAAATGAAACCATGACCAACACACCACATTGAGCAAGTGAATACTATCTTTTGGACAATAGCTCCAAAGACAATGGAAATGCATTAAAATGCAAACATCCCACGAAAATTGATTTCAAAAATCAGAATTGAAAATCAATTGAATTGGAGTCAGTCACCAACAAAATTTCGTTTTTACTAAAATAATTAAAGATTTTGGAACAAAGAACTTCTAGGAAAGGAAAATACAGGATAGTCTACAAAGATGAGTTGGGGAGTTGATTGACCATGTGGAAAGTCTTAACAGAAATACTGTCATGCAAAATGCTGCAATTACATTAATTAGTAAAATAACACATGTATTAGAACTATCAAATGATAAGCAAACAGTTGCTTAAAAATTAACATAAATAAGGATAGCGTTCAGCGCTTCTTTTCACCACTAAGCCGATTCAATTTTGTTTCCTGTAAGTACAGCCAATGGCTAATGAACTTTGTATATAGATATATATTAGAGCAAGTCATTATCATCTCTTTCAATTGCCAAATCAAAAGGGCCACATGTTGATAGTGTGAACTGCTAAAACTACGACTTTCAAAGAAATAAAACCTAAGAAACAATTTTCATAAGATATAGAGCTACAATTTTAAACCCAGTTAAGACGGTAACAATATAAGATAAATCATTTCATGGAACATCTGCCCATCAAGCCCAATCCACTGCTTTTCACGCACATTCTCCATGACAAAATATGGTCTGTTAATATGCATAAATAAAGTTACCAAAAGGGAAATTAATCGTAAGCGTAACCAGAAAACATGGTTCTAATCCGTCATATGCCGATAAAATTTCACTTTAAAAGTGAATAAAATTTAAAACTCACCACAGTGATAACGAAGGCTGTAGTTGATAGATAACAGAGTCAATTAGGTTTTCAATTTGATGAACAAGAAGCACAACTGAGAGCTTGGTTGAGGGAGAGAAGACCTAGAGAGAGAATGTGTTGGAAAAGGCATTATACGTGTGGATGCCATAAGGGAATTGATTATTATTAATTATACCTGGATGGAGAGGACGAGAGGTCAAGTCCGATAGCGGAGGCCGGAGGTGCTGCGACCGTGAGCGAGAGCTGCTGCCGCGCTGCAACCTGGGAACCAGGGGAGCACAGGCAATAAAGAGACAGGGAAGCCGAAGTGCGAAGCTGCTGTGATGCGAGATCGCAAGTGTGAAGACGAAGATTGAGTTGCTGCGAAGTTTGAGTGCAAAGTCGAAGTGCGAAGGTGCAGCGGCTGCGATTTGGTATGGAGGTGGAGGGAGGGATTTGCCAATTTGGAAATTTGGAGCATGTATGGTAGCATTGAATTAATAAAAATAAAATTAAAAATAAAATTTTAATTTAAGCATGTAAGAGTTGCAATTTTTAAAAATTCTAATTTCATCAAAAATGTTAGAATTCAATTTCATCATATTGATTATGAAATTGCTTCAATTTCTTTGAATTCAATTTGTGGATCTCACTATCATCATATTTTTTGTTCATTTATAACAAGATAGGTCTTTTTAATTTAAAAAAAAGGTAATTTAGTCTTTTTTTATTTTAAGTACATATATAAATTAATATTATATTAGAATTCCATCTTTATACCAAACACACTTTTAAAACTCAATTCTATTCTGATTCTGATTCCGATTTCGATTTTGATTCCATTAAAAACTCTTCCATCATGCCAAACGAGACCTTAGAATACACTTGGGAGTAGTTTATGATTGAACAGAATACAAGGGAATGGAGTGAGAAAGAATAAAACTTTTTATTGGTTGAGAGTTTTATGATGAAAAAAATAATTTTATATTATTATTATTTGAGAATTATTATAAAATAAATGAAATAAGATAATTTAAATTTTTTTAATATTACATATATGACTAAATTTAAAAAAATAATAATGTTCATTAAATAATTATAATATTTATGTAATAAATAATAATAGTTAAAATTAAAATTAATGGTTAAACAAGATATTTAAGAATTAAGAATAAAAAAAGAAAATAACTAATAGAGCTATTTAAACAAACATTCTTGTTGCAAGAGAGGAAAATACAATAGAGTTATAGTGTTGAAAAGCACTATGAAGAGAGATGGGAAGAGCAAGAGAGATATGGAGGAAGATAGAGCTATGCATTATACTTGGATATCCAATTAGCCCCACCTTGCTTGAACATATGCAAGTTTTTTTTATTTTTTGTAAATAATATTTATCTCATGGCATTATTTTTTATTGAAAGTTGTAATAAATTATATTATTTTTATAATTTTTTAGACATTTTTTATCATTATGATTTTCTAAATCTCTTTCAAAATTTAAAATTTATTTTTAACTTATTGTTATGTAAAAATAATTGATAATTGTTGTTCATTTGAACTTTTAAAAAATTACTTTTGATTCTAATATTACTTTTATAAAAAAATATATTTTAAATAATAATAATTTTTCAAGAAATTTTTTTTATATTTTTTAAAAAAATACTTGTAAAAATATTTTTAAGTTAATCGGGCTAGCCTGATGCCTGAGTGCACATTGGTCTGGGCATCAAGTTCGAGTGATGCCTAGCCCGACCTTACTTATATACAATCCTAGTAAGAGGTGAGAGAAATGGTTGGAGAGTGAAAATAACATATGAGATTTTTTTTTTTATTAGGATATGAGGTTGGGGGTAATTTTGTGAATAAAATAATTATACTATGTTACTCTATCTTTGATCACCTAATTTGGGGGGACCAAAAATATTGAGCTGTGGATGACAAAGGAGGGCTTTAAAGGCCCTTTCGTGCCATTCCATCCTTCTTAAAAAAAAAACTCACAAATAGTAGTTTACATCATTTAGCCATCTCACTCCATTCCATTTCCTTTAAAAAAAAAAAAATCTCCCAAACATAATGTTAGGCAACATTTGGGAGCTTTGTTTTTAAATGGAATGGAATGGCTTGGGTGGATTTTCTAGGTAAACTAAGAAATTTGCTTTTAACAAAAAATTACTTTTTCTTTTTTTGAGAAATCAAGTTTTGAAGTTCTTTTTTTCTTTTTAAATTTGGAAAGGGAAGCTAAGCTTGAGGTAGTCTAGTATAAATTAATGGGTAGAACCCATTGCTTGAGCATATTGCTGATGACATGCAGAAGTATGATGATTAAAATTAGATAAATTGAAAGAAAAACTAAGCGCATTTTTGGCTAGTAAATCAACATATTTTAATGCTTCTCAATGAGAACAATGAAGTTTGAAGTCTCAGATGGTGTAGATGATCTCATGAATTTTTGAATCATATCATAAAGCAGATGATCACAATGACCTTCACAGTGAATGAGGTTCAATGAATGCAAGGAAATCATAATGCATCACAATCTTGTTGAGGTGTCTCTATAGACAAATCTTGAGACCATGGTGGACAACGAGAAGCAACCATTTTTTATTGTACCTTTAAAAAGATGAAATATTTTTAATTTTTAAATTAAATTTAAACTTTAAAATATATATTTATATTTTAAAATTAGAATTTTTATTATTTATTTTAAATTTTTTAACATTATAATTTGTATTTTAAAAAATCAAAAAATAAAAAAATAATAATGAATTAATGGACCCAACCCTAAGCCCTTTGAATAAAAATTAAACTTAAAAAATAAGTTATTTTTAAAAAAAAATAGGACTTGAAGACTAGAGGCTATAAGGACTAAGCTCATATGAGCTAGGCTCGCTCGTCTTTTAGCTCTATTTTTAAGTCATCTTTTACCATTATAAACTTATTATTTTATTACCTTGATTTGGGAGTTGAGAAAGGAATGACATGATATAAATAGTATTAGTATATTGTCCTTTTCACCCCCTCTCACCCTTTCAACCCTTATCACCTTAATATCTAATTCAAATCTATTAATTTTATAATTATTCTTAAATAATAACTAAATAAAATTATTTATTATTCTAATAAGACTCTGAAACAATGGAATATTTCTTCTGTTCCAATCCATCCACTCCATTCTATCAATAATCATTACATTAATGACCATTCCATTAAAATATTATACGTGAAAAAAGATATGGCTGCAAATCTAAGGTCCCTCTATTATCAAGATTAAGAATGGGGTCTAGGTCTCTAATTTTTTTATCCTAAAAGACTTGGAGAGTGCTTCTTTTAGAGACCTCTGTATTAAAGATCCCTCCATTAACAGGAATGTAGTTTGGTTTTTGAACTTCCCTTTGATTGAGCAATCTAATTTCTCTTGGATCCAAAGGATGGCGAACCTTACTAAAGTCAAGAATGTAGATTTCTCTATAGGGGTCTTTAAAGTGCCAAGCTGAATGGCCTTTAAGCTTATTTCTTTCAAACCTAGTGGGACTTGATGGATACTGAAGTTTGGGATTTTTTAATGCTTTCTTTGTTGAACCTTGTGCAATCAAAGACATCAATCAAATCAATATTGTCCTAAGTCCTAAAATTGTTAGCCTTACTTCTTTTAAAGAGTTTAGACCAATTTCTCTATGTAATGTGTGCTTTAAAATTACTAAATTATTAGTTGACCAATTGAAGAAGGTGATGAACCAATGAGTAGGGCAAGAATGATGTAGTTTCATTGCTAGTCGATCAAGTTATGACAACATTATTATCTCACAAAAAGCAATTCACACAATGAAAATGAGTAAAAGAGAAAGGTTTTGAGGCATTTAAGGTTGATATAGAGAAAGCTTATGATAGATTAGATTGGAGCTTTATTCAAACCACTTTGGAACTAATTGGTCTTGATGCACATTTTATCAATCTCATTATAAAGTGTATTACCATGGCATCCATGAGAGTCTTGTGAAACTCAAATAGTAGTCCGGAGCTTTTACCTTCTAAGGGAATTAGGCAAGGTAATTCCTTGAGACCCTATATCTTTATCCTTTATATGGAAAGGTTAGGTTACCTTATTAAAGTTGAGTGTATAGAAAATTATTGAAAAACTGTTAGCTTCCATTTAAGGGGACCTAGTAGTACTCATATGTTTTTCTGCTGATATTCTTATTCTCTTTACGAAGGCTTTTGTAGATTGAATGGAAGAGATGAAGAGGATCATGCAAAGCTTTTGTGCTGTGTCGAGCCATTGCATTAATCTTGACAAATCTAAAATGTTATGCTCGAAGAATGTGCATTTCAACAAAAAGTTAGAATTAAGTCAAGTATTTGAGATTGGTGTTATGGGGGGATTGGGCAAGTAATTAGGGGTTCTTGTGATTCACTTGAGAGTTTCTAAATCAACATTTGATCTTATTGTGCTAAAAGTTAGTAAACGTCTATCTTTGTGGAAAAGAAAATTTCTAAGCATTGTAGGTAGAATTATTCTCATCAAGTTTGTCCTCTCTACACTCCCTAGTTATCAAATGTAATTTGCACTTTTATTGAAAGGGGTTCTGTAGGATATTGAGAAGCTTAGTCAAAGTTTTTGACATATTGCATTATTTTTATATATTTTATGATGATTTTCTTACATTATTGCATCTTTGGGAACTCAATTCTTGCATATTTAAGCATTTCTAGGTCTTTAGAATCAATTAGGGTTCATTCATAGCCTAAAGATATTTTGGTCACTTTAATAATTTAAGGACATTAACTTAGTTTGTTTCTTTTATCTTCTTAAGATCAATGAAACAAGTTTGACAGTTTGAAATTCAAACTCATTTTAGATTGCAAAGAGACATCAAAAGAGATAAGTTATAAGATATTCCAAAACAAAGACATTAATACTATGTTGTCATGTTTTATAACCTAAGAGTTTGGAAATGGCATTGCATCTTACAATTGGCTTTGAGTTTGATTTAAAATTTTTCACACATGCTTTGATCACTCTTATGTATATAATTACAGGTGCAAACAAGGATTTGGATAAAAATTAAATGGCCAAGAGATGGGAGTATAAGACAAACTATAAAACAAGAAGACTCTAGAGTGATATATGTGCAAAAGTTAATTCAAAGAGCTTCTAATGACACTAAGCATGGATGATTTAAACCAAACAGCCTTAGTCACCCTTTGGTTATCTTTTTAGAAATTTTTAGTGAGTTCTAATCAAGTATGGAGTATCCTACAAGAGCTACATGTGCATTCAAGTTAACCTAGCCTAACTTGAATGGTGGCCACATTCATTTTTGAACCTCCTAATCA